GAATTGTTGAAGATGTGGAGAAGTGGCTTTGACACCCTGCAGGTCGGTTTAAAATACTATACTTTGGTTGCAAAAAAGTTAGAGTAGTGTATTTCTGATAACTGCTGGTGTCTGTGGTGTGGGGGTGAGAGTCTGAACAGAACAAGGTCACATCTTATCTCTTCTGCTGATAAGCTAAGAGCCCTTGATGTCCCCCAACCTCTCTGAGATAACAGCTATAAGGTAGCTGGCACAGGCCAGTCACTGGTAACTGCCCAGTGGGCATTCCTACAGCAGAGCTCTGCAGACCATCAGCAGTAGCAAGGTCAATAGAGACGCGACCCAGGTGCGCCAAGTCCAAGCCAGGCTGTGCAAGCTCCCAGCAGCTCAGACTCTGACAGCACATTTCTGCTTAGGGCTGGTCCTTCAAGGACAAAACTCCACTGGGACCCGCTTCCCAACCCACATGCAGGCATGGGAAGAACAGTCCTCTGAGCACTGCTGAGCCTCACAGGGCCCACCTGACTGGTCCTCCTGGGGCTTGGGACGCTTGATCTTTGAGGAGCAAGGATGTTCCTTACGTGCAGAGCTGAGCTGTGTGGTATCAGAGACAGGGCTGGTCTTGTGGATACCTGGGAGAGGATGTCAGAGGTGAGGGTCCGCGTTTTCCCCCTGCATTTTTTGGCCTTTGCTCCTGTGAGCTGTCTGCGTGTACAGATGCAAAGCCCTGCCAGGCTTCCAAGGGGTGAGCCACTGAATCAGGGGAGCAGAACCTCAACCCTGGGAAAGGGGGGGCTGTTTCCTACGGGGTGCCTTCTGTGGCTACTTTAAGAAAGCATCGATCCCCGATACTCGCAATGTGTGAGCGTTTCTATCTTGGAGCCTTTTGTGATGTCCTGGGTGACAGAGGGGTCTGTTGTCCTCAGCGGGAGAGCCTGTGAAAAGCAGAGCTCGCCTGCCTCCGCCCCCTAACCTGTGTGAGACGTGTAACATGAGTGAGAAATAAATTTTTGATGTGTGAAGCCACGGAGTTTGGGGGCTAATGTTTTCCACAGGCTCACCAATTACATCCCAGCTGAAAGGCGCTCCGGTTTCATGTTTTTTCCACAGGGATGTCACGGTCCCGGCATCCACACCGAACACCGTCCTTGGTGTACCAGCCCTCGGTCCCTTCCCTGTGGCACACACCTGCTTATTTCCAGCTCCCTGGTCTGATCCATCCCCTACCAATTCTCCAGTTTTGTATAAGTTTACTTATCTGGTGGGAAAGTTCTCTCTAACCCCTAGTAATTCTTTCAAATGTCTGATTTTAAAAACACCTTTTACCGTATGTGCACGCACACACACAGCGGGTAGAATGGGTCCAGGCTCCCATGGGGTTGCATGTAGTGGACCGCCTGGCACAGCATGCCCTCTGGAACAGCTCATACTTAACCTCATCTGTAAGATGGGAAACATCACTTCCCTCTGCAGGAGAGAGAGGGTTGGCGTGTGATCTGTTTTGGGAGCACCCTCATCCGTCCAGCTGTAGTGGTGGGGTGCTGCATCTCCCTGTCCCCCCCCCCCCACCTTCATGGAGCCTCCGGACTTCTGTCAGAGCAGTGTGGCGACTGACTGAGTGGACAGTGGGATGCCAGGCTTGGCACCTGGGAGCCCAGGACATCGGAGGACCCTAGTGGGCGTTACTCACCAAGGTGCGATTTACGTTCTATGGTTGAGGTGCGCGCACTCCTGTCTGTGTGCACCTCTAGGTAATAGAACCGTGGAGCGTGTAACACAAGAACAGCCCCTGACGAGGTGGAGTGAGCAGGAGGAGATGTTTGTGAACTAGGATGCTGTCTGCCGGGTGGGCCTTGTTTCTGACCAGACGATGTGTGGGTGCCGGGTGGGGATACCTGCAGCACTTCCTGCGGCCCCATGTGCCCAGCGTCACATGTCTCATGTTTCATGCGGTGTCTGCAGCTGGAGTATTCTGAAGGCAGCGGGCAGCACGGATGTGTTCGTACCCCACAGGCCTCGTCTGGATGCTTCTGTGCGTGCTTGTTGATGTTGCTGCCGTCGAGTCGGCTGTGACTCACAGCGTCCCAGGAAACAGTCCTGCACCAGCCTCACCGTCTCCGACATGCCCGAGCCCATTGTTCCCGTCACTGTGTCAGCCCTTCTCATTCGATGTCCTTTTTTTTGGTGGACCCTCCACCTTTGCCAACATGATGTCCCGGAGCAGCGTCTGTGTGAATGTATGTTAGAGACATTGTTGGCATACAAGTGTGTAAGCAAGTGCACAGCAGACACAGTGCATGGGACAGGTGTGGTCAGGACTCCCCCTGCGTGTAAAGCTGACCACCCTGTGGGCAGACGTGAGGGAGGGCCCGGGTGGTCTCTGCAGCCAGAGAAAATAGATCTGAAATCCTCTGATTCCTGGGAGTCTCCAGGCCAGAGGTGTCCGCACCAAGGACAGGCCCTCGTCCTGTACCCTGTGTGGACATGGCCTGAGCAGTGTTGTCAGAGCCTGCTGTACACTCTTTCAAGGGGAGGGCCAGGCCACTGTGGGCCTTGGGTGCTGGCACCTGGGGATGGCCATTCATCCTGAAGACCAGAGACCACAGCCCCTGTCACCATTGGCCAGAATTCTCCCCTGCCCATAGTGCCTTGCGGCAGACTGGCTAAAATTGCCCCGCGTGGCCTTCATCCCAGCTCCATCACCAGGTCGTTGGGGGCCTGTCCTACTGCCCGTGCTCCCCAAACACCCCCAACTCCTGAGGCAGCAGAGGCTGGAGTTTTGAGACGCCCCTCACCGTGACATTTCCTCTCAGCCCATCGGAGGTAGCTGGCTTCCCAGTCCCAGAGAGGCGTCTCCTTCTGGAAACTTCTCTGCACCAGTGCCCGAAGCTGCAGGGAGCCCTTCCAGCTGGGAGGCAGAGGGGCAGCCTACACCTCCAGTCCCCGGTCGGCTTTCCCAGCACCACGGAGGAAGGAAAAGATCCGAGCCATTGTGCCTCTGCGACTCACTCCTGCTGGGCCCAGCCCTGCCTGGCCCTCCCAGCGGAACGGTGACTCAGCGCGGTGGTGGGAAGGGAAATCGCAGAGCACTCAGTAAGGACTTGGTTTGGGGCCAGCGTATGCTGCAGGCCACTTCGGGGGGACTCCTGAGCTTGCCTGTGCTGGCTCTCTGACCACACCCCACTGCAGGAATCCTCCTGGATCTTGGGGTGGACACCTGACACTGGGCCCAATAGAACGCTGGTAGTTTATCCCAGCTCTTATTCCTTAGAAATCATAATCTACTATTAGTACATATTTATTAAGCACCTACTGTGTAAAGGCAGTCACTTGTCGTTGCTGTGAGGCTGAACACTGTGACACAGATGTGTCAAATGCGTTAATGGTTGGCTACCCAATGCAGACTGAGAGTGGGGTGGAGCTCCTCGATTAAACAAGCGTGGAAGGAGGAGTGGCATCCGCTTCCATAATAGCTTGCCTCCAGAAACCCTATGAACTTGGAGAAAAGATGAAAGACACCCAAGCGTCAAGGACTCTCCTTCATTGGGTCGCTATGAGTCGCCTGCGACTCGACGGCACTTAACAACAACAACAAGCCCCTCAAAAACTGCCACTCACTGCATCGGGAGAAGCTCAAGACCCTCAGGCTGTGGTAGGGACCCAGGACACTGACCCCCAGAATTAAGGGCTGTTCCTGGCCATCTCCTACTGAGCTTAGCCTGCTCCCAGGTAGTTCTACCTTCTGGAGCTGGGATCTGATGCTCACAAGTCCTCCAGGCAGGGAGCCAGCCCTCCCATCTCTCAGTATTTCCAGAGTTCTACATTGCAGATTCCAGCTCATGGGGTGCCCAGGCAGTGCAGGGGCTCCTGACACCCCCCTCCAGCCTGCGGGGTATTTTTCCTCTACATGCTCAAGACAGAGCCGGGACCCAGGGTGCAGCAGGAGCTGGGAGGTAGGAATGGCCGTGTTTGGGGAGCTGACATAGGAAGTGATGTGCTCAGACCCTGGGGGGCTGCCCAATGGGTAGCTGGGCCCCCAACTATTTGTGGCGCCTGCACACCCACCCTCCCTCCTGGCGGGGCCGCAGCTGCATCCCGGGAATTCCTCTCTGGAATCCGCATCTTTGAAGCCGGTGCCTCCGTACCCGCCTGGACGCTTCCAAAGGCGGATACTGACAGAGGATTCAATGAATCGAAGGTCGCCAGTCGGGGCGTTGACAGATGCCCGGCCACGATACTATTTCTGATTTAATAACCGAATGGGAGGCTGGCCCTTTGTAATAATTAGGGCTAATTACTGAGGAGGTGTTGACAGATGGGCTGAGAGGAAACAAACTACCTTTATCCAACAGCTTAGAGTCAGATTACGGGCCCAATGCTATCTGCCCCTCAGAAAGTCGACGCTTCAATCACTCACCGAGGCTTCAAAGGGGCAGGGGCTGACAATGCACAGAACGGGAGGCCTGTGAAGTGCGCCTTTGACTCGCACTAGCCAAACGGAGCCCGGGCCAGAAATGGTTCCTTTGTGCAGCTCGATGATGCCCTGTCCTGCCCACTCTTGGGGTGTGGGGGTGGGTGCTGGCCGGGCCACGGTCCTGGCTGGAGGTGGCCCTCCACCTGGCCCAGCTGCGCCTGCAGAAGCCCCAAGGCTCGAACCAGGCTCTGCAAGCCCGCGTTGGGGGCTTGCGTGTTTTTCTTGGCACCAGGAGGGAAACTTGTCCGGTTCTTTACGGCCATGAGCTGCAGGTAATGGAATAGGAATCTAATATCTCAGCAGGCTGGTCCCTTCCCCTTGTTTTCATCTGGAATGTAGCTTTTCCGCAGCCGTCAGCAGGCAGGCCTGGCCTCTCTGGGAAGGGCCTGTGTCCTTGATGTTATTTATGGCAGGACCACCCCTCGGTGGTTTGGCCTCACTCATCAGCCGGGTTCCCGCCCTCGTCCTGGCCTGAGAGTCAGCTCCATGGAAGCAGATACCGCCCTGCGGGACCTGGGCAGGCAGACCGCACAGTGACTGAGACGGCATGGCGGCCTCTCCAAGGCCTGTTCTCCGCCTGCTCCTCATGTCTTACACACGACTGCCCCAGGCTGCCAGACCCCACTGCTTGGTAGCAGGGCTGGGAGGTGTTTTCCCATCATGCCGTCTGTGGCCTCAAGGGGGCAGGGTGCACTGGCCTGGCTGGGCCCTTGACTGTGTTCTCGTGGTTGGTTCTGAGATTCCCGTCAGGGAGGCAGGATGATGAGATGATTCCCCAGAGCATCTTTTGGCCCCAGACACAGCCAGGTGGGTGTGGAGTGGGCCAGAGCAGGAGGAAGCTTCGACAGTTGCCCACCTGCATCCCCACCCTGGATTTTGGAGCCTTCACGTGCTGCTGGCTACAGGACCTGCCCAGAACAGAGCTGCCTGTCTGGATGGCATGTCATTTCAAAGAGGGAGGCACTGGACAAGCCGGACTGGAGAAGGACTGGCTGAATCAGCACAGTACTTCACCCCGTGGGCTCTGGAAGTGCCAAGAAGGACGATGGCATCAGGAGTCACCATCTCCTACAACCAGGAGAAGATAAAGTAGATGAATGAGATCTTCTAAGAATCAAATCTCTATACACATCCAAAAACGTCTCCAACAGGGTAAAAAGGGAAGCCACTGACTGGGAAAAAGTATTTGGTAATGACATGCCAGATAAAGGACTTATATCCAGAATTTACAAAATACTTGAGCACCACAAGATAAAGGTAAATAATCCAATAGAAAAATGAGCACAGGATATGAACAGACACTTCACTGAAGATGACATTCAGATGGCTAACAAGCACATGAAGAAATGTTCAAAATCCCTAGCTCTGAGAGAGATGCAAATCAAAACAACTATGAGATATCAT